TATTTAATTATAAAATGAACAAATATCAACTAACTATCTTAAAATTAACATTGATCCAATTCGTCCTGTAATCAGATTCGTCTCCATTTAGCCTATATTTATTTTAGTCTAAATAAAGTTTTAAAAAATTATAATATACTTTATATAATTTTAATATATATATTTTAAACAGATTTATCTATTTTGACTATTCAAGATATGTAATTTTTGAAATGAATTAAATAAGAAGCAAATGATATAATGATGTTAAAAATGCATTTTATCTGTAATATTATAAAAGATTATAATATTATAGGTAAAAAAAGAATTTAATATTTTTCCAAAAAATGAAAAATAAAAACTATAATTTTAGAAAAATTGAAAATGTCAATCTTTTCTTAAAAGTTGAAATATTTTTTTTCATTGAATTTAAACATGCCACTAGATACAACACAATATATTCAAAAAAGATGTATGATATTCAAACATGTTCAAAATACAAAGATTTGCGGCAATAAATATTTTTATACAGAAGATATAACGAAATTGAAAATATTTCTTTAACTCAGATATAAAATTAGAAATATACATAAATACATTTTTAAATACTCAAAATATCGCCTTTATTTAATTTTCATTTTTTCGTAATCGAAGCAATTAAGTTACTTTTAATTTATTGTCTTTTTTAAATTTTTTTTTAACAAAATGCTATATTCTATAAAAAAACATTTGATTTTAATTAAATTATTAAATATAATATTAAAATATTAAATAAAATATGAAATATTAAAATATGAAAGCTAGAAACAATAATAATCAAAATAATTCAAATCTAAATGCTATTTATAAAAGACAAAATTGACTTTCTATTGGGTCTTCTCGCTGGCATTCGATATGTGTTAAAATAAGCGTGTAAACTCGATAAAACGGTACGCCACTGAGATGAATTCTCGGTACGCGCTTCTAGAGGTTTCTCCGCCGCCTTTCTAAAACGGCATCCATCGGAGAAACGCGAAAGAAAAGAAGCCGAGCCCTGGAATTGCCGTTGCCGCTGTCTGGGTCTCTCTCTCCACAAATTGTCTTCGGAACGATCCATTTGTCCGAGAAGGCTCTTTTAGACGCATACGTAAAATTGCAATCGCAATCAATGTAGCGAAAGTTCCGCGCCGCCATTGTCATTTCTTTTAGGACTAATCGCACGAATAGCATATTAACATAGTTTAGAAAATAATTTCTTTTTTAATTAAAAAAAAGAGTAACAATAATTTAGTCAAATTTAAAATTTTCAAAATTAAAGCGTAAATATTGCAGTTTTTATAAAATCAAATCTGTATTGAGCATTATAAAAACTGCAAGAAATAATTATTCTTTTCTTCACATACTTTTTTTATGTAAACAATTAATTTTTTTTTTTATATTAAATATTCGATAAATTTTTTATCGTATATGGTTTATGCATCATTTTATGCGCAAAAAGTATTCACGCACAGATAATTTGAAACATCGATAATTGAATTATAAATTTATTATCTAATATTAAATTACACAAAAGAGAATAATCTGATCAAAATAAATAAAAAATATTTAAAAATTAAAAATTTACAATAATATTTAAGAATTACTTAATCGTGAATAAAAATTGAACAAAATTAGGGTCAAAATCATTTGGATCAAATTATCTGTCTGTCGGATTACCATGACTCATTTCAGTAATGTTGATACGTAAATTATGCTTGCTTTTACTATCGATTCAATCAAGAGTCATTTTCACGGTAGTCATATATTATAGAAAGTAACAGTGAATATGCTTAAGACTTAATCATCTTCTTTCTCAAACAATCCCCTACGTCAGTATAATCGTACGTAATTACATGGGAATTAGGAAAGAGAGAGATTACTATTGATCAAAAGAATTTTTCTCACAGTTGTCAAAACAGATTACTAGTAATTGTCAATTATCCGACCAATAATACTCCTAGTAAGAAATTTCTTTCTCACCCTTGAACGATTTATCTTAATTAGATAGAAACGCGGTTATAACGCAACGATGCAAAAATCCGATGAATGCTGCTTAGATAATTTTTATTCTAGTGTATTTAATAAGGAATCCTCTATATAGTCTTATAGAAAGTATGACAAATACTATAAAATCAATTTCTCATGCGTACCTTGCCTACTTGCACATTTTACATAGTACAATATGCGCATATGGTACATGCCACGAGAGAAAGTTTTCGACATTCAACTTACACTGATCGACAATTCAATTTTGTCACGACGAGCTGCGGTCGTATATTACAAAGTCATCCAGTACATATTCTAGAAGCCCACTTGCTCTACACGTAAGATCGTTCTATCAGCGTGATCACCATCCTTTCTAAAATAGGCTCCGCTTTTCTCAATTTTCCAAATGCAAAATTATTTATAGCTACTTGTAAAATTATCAGCTAATCTTTAAATAAATGAAAGTTAATCTACGTATGTTACTTTTTTTCTATGATTTTTGGTTCTTTCTCTGCTATTTTATATCTAATTTAATATTCTATATCTAATTTAATGCACTTTAAGTATAATTATTAATATTATAATAGTATTTATTATGTAACTATTTTAATTACTCCGTTATATATTTGTATTTTTTCTAAAATGTTTAAATTATTTTTCTTGTATTTTTTAAATAAATATATGCATTAGCATACATTTAAGGTATATAAGATATAAAGTATATAGACACAAGACACGATAAAGTTTTCTCCGCCTCCGGGATAATAACAAAATAAGTACAAAAAATTGTAATAGTATCTACCAGAAACAAATGTTGCCGCATATAATTTTCTCGATAATATGCGAAAGCCAGTATAATTTTGTCCATCCTTCGGTTTCTTATTTCTTTTTTGTAAATTGATTTTATGGTTTATAGTAAAAAAAAAAATCTAAAAAAAATTCAAGCAAAGAAAGATCTAAAAAAGCAATAGAAGATATAACAATAATTATTAGATATAGCAATAAAGGATGGTTTGCAACCAAACATTCTTAAAGAATGAAATAATCTGACCTTTTTCTCTATACAACCATTTGAGAAAATCGCGATCTTATCTATGCTAACGGATCAATAAGTTTTAACAATAATATCAAATATGGATTATAAAAAATAAAAAAAAAGAATACCTTTTTCTCCAACAAATTTGTCTGTATAATTAAATAATAAATTAAAAAACGTGAATTTTCTTTACGTAATAATTCGCTAAATTACCTGAAGCGTTTAAAAATGCATCATTAAGCAGACCCCCAGGAAGAAGTATTAGCGATTAAAGCCGGTACCGGTAGAAATAATGCGCTTGCAACGCAATATACCATGAATAATACTTTTTTTGTAGAACAACGGTCAATACACCGAATAATCAGTGGAAACGTTACGGTCACTTCATCTCTAGTAAATAATTCATTTATAAATTATTGATCCAGGAAGAAACTCTCGGTTCGCAGAAATAGATCTAACACCGGAAGAAAATAACGGACGTTGCTTCATATGAATCTCTCTTCCTACTTCCTTTAGCAAATCATTAAAAGGGTAACGCTATTAATATTGATAATTATTTCTTAAAAAATATTTATATAACATAATTTTCCTTTACATTATTGATAAAAAAAATAACACAAATATAAATTAAATTCTTAGGATAGAATCAAATTACGCATTGAATATTGAGATTGAAGATTGAAATTCGATCAATGAAGAGAAAGAAATTTTCCTTTTGTTTTGATTGATCACAAATTTCAATCTTTCATCCTTCAATTTCAATTTTCAATGCGTAGTCTGATTCTGGCCAAGAATTTAATTTATATTTGTGTTATTGTTTTTTTTATATATAATAAAAGAAAATTATATCACGCTGTATGAATGATTCAACGATTAGAAAAGTTTAGAAAATAAAATTAGTAAAAAATATTAATAATATAGTAGTCTGCAATTGGCCTTGTAATAGCATAAATTCTTATAATCAGAGAAATGCTGAATACGAAAAAATATAAGAGAAAAAATGTGTCAAGTACATACATTTCTCTTCTCAAGATCGCTTCCTGCCTATATTTTTTTGCTTAACCATATTTAATAAAAATAATAATGAAAAATATAATTTTAAAGCAGAAAAATATAATTTTAAAGCAGAAAAATAAATCAAATCAAGGAAACCAAATAAATTAAATCTTTGTATTTTAGATAGATTCGATAGAGATGGCTCTTTTGCCTACAAATCGATTGCCTACACTGGCCTACAGTATTGTATGCCTACATCACTTTTGCCGACAGTTCGTTTGCGCATAGAAATTATTGCCTACAGCTCGATTGCCTATATGCATTTTTGCATAAAAATAAAAATTTCAGAAACGAAGTCACATTTATGATTCTGTTTTCTACATGTGTTTTTCACATGTACTATTGCCTACATGTATTGCCTACAAGTATTGCCTACAGCTCGATTGATTCAACAAACCAATATTGATTCAACAATATTGGGCCAATCCAATTTTTACTCAATATTGGCTATACATCGTTTTTCCAATATTTGGCCATAATAGATGATCGAGCTGTAGGCAATAGTACATGTAGGTAGATGCGACTTCGTTTCTGAAATTTTTATTTGTTTCCAAAAATGCACATAAGCAATCGAGTTATAGGCAATAATACTATAGGAAATAATGCATATAAGCATATGTAACTCCGTTTCTAAAATTTTTATTTGTGCGCAAAAGTGCATGTAGGCAATCGAGCTGCAGGCAATAATTTTTGTGCGCGAATGAACGCGCCAAAGGGATGTAGGTAAATGATATATATAGACAATCGATTTGTAAGCAAAGGGATCCCTTCGATGTAGTGTTTTGCGGCAGTCTTTCGCATAAGTAAACACTTTCCTCCCTTTCTATTGTATACATCAACGTGCATGCGTGCTTGAAAAAAAGCGAAAAGTATTCAGTATACCAGAAACAATTAAAGTATAAACTCATACATATTTTAAAATATAAAAGTGTATACTTTTTAAAAACATACATTATGCCCAATTTCATCACTTTCAGATATAAGTTGCGGATAACCTTATTCAGAAGATATCTTCATTGTATTCTAGGAGATATCTCTTGGATGATGTTATCTAAAGGTGAAGAAATTGGGCATTAGAGAAATAGAGAGAGAGAGAGGCGGAGAGGGAGAGAGGGAGAAAGGGAGAGAGAGAGAGAGAACAAGTGTGTGTGTGTGTGTGTGTGTGTGTGTGTGTGCGTGCGTGCGTGCGTGCGTGCGTGCGTGCGTGCGTGCGCGCGCGTGTGTGTGTGTGTTAAAATACACTACTCATTAAAAAATGAGGAACACTTTCAAAATGTTCTAAGTTGCACAATTTTCAAATAATCAAAACTCGATGAAAATTTATTGTAGAAATAAAACAATAAAAAATTTATCAAATTGTTGAATATATATAATTTTAAGGAATATGACATTGTAATCTTTGTTAAGATATGGAACTGTTCTACTGAGTTTCGATGATTTGAAAATTGTGTAATTTTGAGCAAAAGGTTCCCCAGTTTTTGTTGAGTAGTGTATATTAATTAATGTATTTTTAAACTATAAATACATGTCATGCATGTAAAAATATTTAATTCGAAGAGAACGAACATGTACGAAAATAGTAAATCGCGTGATAGAAAATTCTTTATTAATGCAAATTAAAAATGCAAAATCTATAATATCCAATATATATATATATATATATATATATATATATATATATATATAT